TTTATATGGCATGGCGTTTGGGATAGGGGTGGGAACATCTTGAGAAAGCTACAGAGCAGATACTTGGAGATGTAGCTAGATACTGGAAAGCAGCTCAGGCTGCTTGTGCCTTCTGCTGGTACTCTGGGCTGTGCAGGCTGTGATTCACCGTGTTGCTATCCAGTTAGAGCAGTTAAAGCTTATCGCTGGGAAGAGTTGCAACCCTGCCTCGGGAGAGGATCCTGCTCAGAGCAGGAACATTGTTCAGTGTGCGTGAGATGACTGGGCAAGGAGGTCTCCTGGGTCTGAGTTCATCCTTCTAGCTCTGTACATGACCTACCAAAGAATGAACAAGTTGGTACAGAAATTCCTTTGTTTCTGTACTTCCAACTTTTTATAGTTTATAGGATGCTTAAGCCAAAAAACAAAATAATATCATTTTGGTAAATTCTTTTTCAGAAGCTGAACGTTGCGTGCTGTAGAAGAGCAAGGTATAGTTCCAGTCAGAGTGTATATAGCCGCCTGCTCTGAGCGCAGTTGTTTCATGATAGCATAAACTCCTGCCAGGAGCTTTGCAGAAACCATCTCCTGTTTGGTGTAGTCTGAGAAGTCCCCACTGTTCAGTAGAGGTCCATAGTCGCACCACAATTCTTATAATCTGCTCAAGTGTTAAAAAAAAAAATTAAAAAATCAGTTTTTAAAATTAAAACATAACCTACTAGTAATTTCATTTAGTAGATACTTCTCAAGATTGTAGGGCAGGAGTGTTTGGGACCCCTGAATAGTAATGTACCTCGCCACTCCTCTAGTTTAAATTTGCGGTGTCTTTCAAGCAGGAGCACTCAATTCATGAAGATAATCCATATTTTTTAAAGACATGACCAGGTATGGTGGTAGCTTGAAATGTTGTGTGTCTCTTAATTTGCCTATGATGGAAAGTACTGGTGATGACCTTTCGTGGAAGTATTAGAGGCACCATCGCTTAAATACCAGCATTTTATTCAGGGACAATTACCTCCATGATAATGCAGCATCATTTGTGCCTATCAATACTTTATATGCTTCAAAGTTTAAAAAGAAAAAAAAGTCAAATCGATTATAAATGTTGCGAATGACAAATGTGACTAAAATACAGAAGGTAGAAGATCTTTCCTTACCCTTTGAATTCATTAAAAACTAGTCGTGCCTGCTAAGTGCTACAGGGAATGTTGAAAAGGTAGCTGCAAAAAGGATAAAAGTAAAATTATGCAACTGTCTAGCATTATACAATACTCTGTCCCTCCGTGACCTGAGTGACTTTATGATCCGGTGATGGAAGTGAATAAATGGTTTGTTATAAATGGATGGAAAACTTTTCTATTGCTACTAGGGACGTTTTAATTATGTAGTTGTCAGCCACGTGAGCTTGGAATACAATAGAAAGGATTCTGCAATACAGGGCAAGGCTTAGTGTGAGAATAAGAATACCTGGTGTTTAATCCTAATTCTACTACGGGCATCCTGACCTTGAATTAGACGTGCTTATTCACCTTCAGGCACTCGAAGCATTGGCAGCAGGAGCACAGTCTTCAGGATGCTGTTCCTTGTCTTGCACCATCACAGTGGGTGGGATGGCGAAGGTCTTAAAGTTTTAGAAAAGGAAAGGAGGTGGAAGGCTTTTTGGTGTTTAAAGTGGCTGTTCACCTAATAACCTGTGCAAATTAAAAGATGTTAAAGCAGTGAATTCAAAACTAAAGTGGTTGTTGTGACTGCAGACTTAAAAAGGTCCTGTATAATACCGTGACCTGTGGGTCAGAGCACGCAGCCTCCGACTCTGCCGTGGTATGTTCTCAGAGTAAGTCCGAAAGAAAAAAATCTTTTGCTTGTGTAAGCAATGGGAAAACAAGCAGACACTTTATACTCTGGAAAGCCCAGTAAGCCTCAGGAAATTCCTGCATTCTTGATTTTATTTTGTGGCAAAGTACTGCGTGGTGTGTTTTTGAAAGATGAGCAAGGTTGCCCCTCTCCAGCCCAGTGCCACAGACTCGATAAGCTGGAGCTGAATAGCTTATTGTTCCCCTGCGGGCAGCCCCATCAGCTGTCACTGTTCCCCTCAAAAAACACTGAGTTTATTGATAAAGAAAAAGTGCTGATAGCGCATATAGCGCATTTCTTACTAAAGGAAAAGGTTACTAGTTCTTGCTGCTGTTTAGCTGGAGAGCTGTGTGTGAATTATCCCACCTTGAGAACCAAGAGCTTGAGCTTCGTTGTAGCTTTATAACTGAACTGCATGTGCTCCGCTGATCCTTCTAGTCTTTGAGAACTACTAGTTTTTTTGGAAGTTGTCCTTTGTAATTCTGCTTTTTCTTCTGGAGCTAGTTTCTCAACCAGGAATGTGACTGATGGAGGATGTTAGAGTTACCAGGTCGTTGCCCGGGTAAAAGGTCCATCAGTTGTAGTGCAGAGAAGGGTAGGTGGCCACACAATGGTCTGTCTACACACCTGTCTGAGCCATATCTGGTATTTCCTATTCCTATCCCAATCCTCTTTTTAAACATGGTCCCTACTGTTCATCCATGCTAATAGTGTAGCTGACTTTTTCTGAGAAATAACACTGTTTGATCAAACCCTAAATGCAGAAATTCTGTGCCTCGTGCTTTATCTGCTTAGCAGAAAATGCCACATGTGCTCTGCTCAAGTATTTCCTTCGTGTAGTACCTTTTAATGGGTCTAGGAACTAAGCCATGGCTTATTAAAATCAACGTCTTTGCCCAATGACATCTTAAAAGGTCATAGAGTTGTTTCTATGTTGGGACCATCCCTTTTGTTGAGGAAAGGGTGGAGGAGAAGACACAAAGGGAGGAAGAGCTTTCCTTTCTTGCTGCGAAGGATGTTCTTTCGTGAATGTCAGAGCTGCAGATGAGTGTTAGGTTAAGGACTAAGCAGCTTGGTTCATTGCACCAAGGAAACACTCTTACTGTGCATTTTGGTGCTATTATCGTCTGGCTGCCTCACCTTCGTTTCTTTATGAAAGTCTTAATGACAAAGCCAGAGGTAGAATGGGGTTGTCTTGTTTGCATTGTATGGGACTAACCTGCCACTCATACAGAGTTTTGCAAATCCATTAGTAGTTTTGTAATTGGGGATTGAGCTGAATGGAGGAGATATATATATAATGTATGTATGTATGTGTATATAGCATATGTTGAGCATCAAGCAGCAAATTTTTAAATAAGTGCTAGCAGATCTAATGTGCGTAACAATTTGTTCTTTCCCTGTGTGCCCTCCCAGCCCCTGCTATCCCTGAAATACTTTTGCTACCTGGAACCAAGCAACCAACAAAGAAACCTCACAAACTTGCAAGCAATGTAATAGGCAGGTTTTACCTATTGTTGCTCATGCCTCCCCGTGCCGCCGTCCCTGCGGACGCAGGGTTGTGCCCGTGCCAGCGCTGCAGGGTAGAGGTTCCCCATAGCCTCCTGCGGGTCAGTTCCTGCAGCGCCGTCGCAGCCAGCGGCAACCTGCACCCGTCCTGGGCTGGAGAGGGATGTGTTGTGGGTTTTGGAGTCCCTACAATAAAGATGTATGCTTTCTTCGTTGCAAATCCTGGACCCCCTGAAACTGTTCCCGCGGATGTGAGCACAGTTCAGGGCAACTGATACTCATAGTGCATGGCAAGAGTAAAGCGCTTGGAGGGCCAGATGGGATGCTTTTTCTGGGCAAAGGGACAAGCACAGCAAGGGGGTCAAGCTGGCCTCTATTATTACGTATCTCAGGAATTAGCAATGAAGTAGTTGATTAAAAAATGGCATTTGGAAAATGATACTTAAGCATCTTCAGTTGTGGGTGACTGCAGTTGCAGTGTGTAGATACAAACAAAGCTGTGAATACTCAAGACCTGAATGTTACTTATTTTATTGCTGATTCCAAATTCAGCTTGGAACAACCTTTGGAAAGAGCAGCAATAACAGTCTAGCAATAGCAGGCATCTCTGAAGTTTGAGTGCTCACAGACCTTTAGATGAAAGTGCATATATTATTTTCATGTTGAGTTTATTGCCACTAGAAAAGCCAAAAAACCTCTACTCACTGAATAATTCTGCATTTTTAGGCTGAGAGTCTGACGTGCTTCTGCTATGTTTTCTTGCCCCGTTTGACCATGAGCAAGTCATTTCGCTATTCTGTCCCTCAAATTCAGACTCAGTAAGACAGGGAGAAGAGCACCCTGGCTTAAAGGGCTAATGTGAGAAGTTTTCATGTTTGTAAAATGTTTGAAAACTATTTGTAAAATATCGTGTTATTACAAATAGATTTAAGAAGAAATAATTATGTATAATAATAATAATACTAACACTTATATCTGTGTGATTTATGGGTCCTTTAGACATAGATAGGTTACTTGCAGATATATTTTTTTTTTTTTTTAAATAGTATTCCTGGAGATAATTCCCTAATGGGAAGTGCTGTCATGTTGGCTCTTCAAAGGGGTGTCTTTATCTGTTTCGATGGTTTGGTTTATAATGAGAGCTGCACAGCTGGAGACTTGGTAACTAACTGAATAATCCAAAACTGGTGCCTTTGGGGAGTGCCCCAGTATGCGCAACGTCTTGTTTCTGCATCAAGAGTAGTCTGCAAAGGAATTTGATAGAAATTCCCTGAAGTGATTTTCTGAGCTGACGTGGGGTATTGCAGCATTCAGCCCTTTTTCCAGACAGAGATTCAGTACATTTTTAGGCAGTGACCACTTCTTCTTGATGCCAGAAATGCACTTGACACTTGTAATTGATGCACTCTGCAACAGGAACACTTTGCTTGTAGATCTCTGCACCGAACTGCAGGTTATTGGATGGTTTTCCTGCGACCGGTGCCTCCGAGATGCAATTGCAATCGTCTTCTGTCTGCAGATATAGTTAATCATAATGGAGCTTTGCTGACATATCACTAATGAGGGAACATATTTTTAACTATATTTTACTGGAGAATTTTTATGGTGTTTTCTGTAATGGGATTTTGTTTAATCTTTAGTGCTTTTATTTGTTACAGAGATCCGTGCCCAATTGGTAGAGCAGCTGAAATGCCTTGACCAGCAGTGTGAGCTTCGGGTCCAGTTACTGCAGGACTTGCAGGATTTCTTCCGCAAGAAGGCAGAGATTGAGATGGATTACTCGAGGAATTTGGAGAAGTTGGCTGAGAGATTCCTGGCTAAAACTAGGAGCACCAAAGACCAGCAATTCAAGTAGAGTATTTGCCTTTTGTTTCTGCCCTTTTTTCCCCTCTAGATGTGGTTGCAAGGATAGGAATGCAAAAAGAGAGCCAATATAGTGAATATAGGTACCAGCACTGTTGTGAATGTCAGAATAAAATGTTTCCCAAGTTTGTGTTAAACACAGAACCCATTTCATGTTCCTACATAGCCTGGTGGTTAGCTTCATTTCAGTAATTCCTGGTAGGTCATCTGCTGTCAATAGGGAATGGAATGGTAAAAACTTGCATGTCTAAAAAGGGTGATTTTTCTTGGGAAGGTGGGCAAAGCTGTACACCAAATTTGATGGGCAAAGCCAAGATCTCCTTCAGTGTCAGTGGCTTTGGTCTATTTTTTTTTTCAGAGTAACTGTTTCTAATCTGTTACATGCTGTGATTTGCCATTGAAGCACTCTTTTCAATGTCCTTCGCATACTCAGTGTAGGATTTACGTGTTATATCTCTACTACTATCACTTCTAAAGAGTAGAGAAATACAGAAATACGGTCAATGGCACTTCCAAATAGAGCTGTGCCATTTGGGAAGGGGAATCCCTAGATACTAAACTGGTGGGACTCGATTAAAATGTCAAGATGTCCTTATAGACAATCATCTCACCTGCTTGAAACATTATTTACAGGTAGGTCTGACCATACTGCTTTGGTCGTTCCCTGTTTAGCTGTTCGAGTTGGGATGATCAAACGTGCTTCGTGGATTTAAAACCTTTTGATTCCCTACTGATTCCTGCCTGGAGGAAGGGACACAGGGGCTTTTTTGGGAAGGGGGACATAGGAGAGGACCTGTGGGTGAAGAAGGGGCTGGTGCAGGCTGCGTTGCATGGAGACATCAGCCCAGTGAGGAGGAGGACAGCACAAAGCCACAGCGGCGGGGCTGCTGTACTGAAGTCTGGGCAGCGCACAGCCTTCTCGGGTTTTGTTGTCAGGGTAGCAGCTGGGGAAAACACCGAGCAAAAGCAGCATTGGGGTCTGAATCATTTCTGCTTTGGACAGATTGGTCTGAGAGGATCCATCTGGGTCTGCCTCCGCCCAAAGTGCAGTGTCACTTTTAGCATTGTTTGGGTTGGGCCATTATCTCTTGTTTTTGTTTTTTCTGTTGCTGTGTTTGGAGGGATATGGGGATATATCATCATTCCTTTTCCACTAGAAGCGCTTTTTGTGAAAGCCATTAAGTAGGCACCATTTTTGTTTCCTTTCTGTGCAGCTTTGATGTCATTTACTTTAGTTCTCAATTAAAACGCGCATTGTGCTGCATTGTCGGGAAAGCAGGACTCCACAGCATAGCCATTTGACAGGTTGGAGAAGAGTTACTCTGCATATCTATAGAGCTGTAATTGTCTTAAGTTATTATTTTCTTTTCCTTTACAGTGAAAGTGTGCATATTCTGCACATGCCTTTAAGATGGCACTAAAGAAATGATGTCTTGAACTATAATTTCCCTCTGCATTGTGATTCGTTTTTTTCAGTTTATTTTGTTCTTACTCCTGGTGAAAATTGAGGTGATTTCTTTTATATCACATATGAAACATCACATCGGCAATGCTGTTGTATTCATCTTTCAGTTTGATATTTAGAGTGGAAGAGATTTTTGATGTGGAAGTTTTTACGACAGTTGTGCAGAATCCTACATGGTGTCATGCTTCATGTGAATTAAACATGCTGGCTGTGATACTGCAGGTTTTTTAAAATTGGCTTGTTTCTTGGTTCTAATGTATTTTCCTCACTGACCCCTGCCCCTGGTTTTTGACCTGTTTGTACTTTAGATAGGCTTTTTAAAGTTGGACCTGGACAAAGTTGACCTCAAATATTCTAGCTATTGAGTGCAGCCTGAATTGGACAGGTCATTTTATCAGCATGTAAAATGTTCACTTGAATTTCTGAATTATATGTCCGTGCTTTTCTGGTCAAGTCCAGGCCATTGCCCGAAATACTCCAAAACCTGTTCCTGAGCATCCGTTTCACTTTGCTTTGCAGGGGGAGCTAACACTCCTCTGGCTCCTGAGCTCTCTTCCATTAGCAGCAGGTAACTCCTGGCAGAAAAGCATCTTGTTCTTGGACTATGTTACTCCTGCAGGGTTTGAGTCCCAAATATGCAAGTCATTAATTTGGTCAAGAGTAGGAATAAGGGGAAAAAATAACTCTGAGGCTGCTGGGTCTGTGGGCAGTATTTGTCACAGCTCACGGTTGTAAAGCTGTCTGTCCTGGGCAGCTCCGTCTATTACTCGCTTGGTCGTTTCTGTCTGCTGGCTCTAACATTCAGAAATGTGTCAGAATACCACAGGGATCAGTAAGGAAGCAATTCCAATTATAATTACCTATCCCCGACACGGCTCTGTCTGAATAGTGAAGAGTAACTTTGCCGGTATCTTTTCTGTAGACACTGAAGCTGTAATCCCATTTGGAAGCCCCCAAAAGACCATTTGATCAAAGCCAACCATCAGATCTGTCCTCCTGAGGAGCCTGGTATTACATGGCTACGAGATGTGCGCAGGCGGGTGGCTACTCTGTAATTGCCTGGCTGTGACCCTATAAATATACAGTAATAGCATGTTCTTTCGATAACATGATAATTACATTTGAAGGTACCATATCATTCAGTGACTGCTTACCATGTCACTTGCTGTTTTTAGATCTCATAACACACTGTCAAGGAGGAAATCTGTCAGGCAGTAACCCTGTAATTTGCATGTGCTTTCATACTCAATAGCTATTATGTCATTGCCAAGTTGTTCCGAATGTGTTCATTTAAGGGAATGCTGTCAAGGGCAGGAGGCTTCGGTCTGACCCTTGAATTGGATTGTGTGGCTTCCTCCACCGTCCGTCTCCACGCTGGTAAAAGCACACGCTTACAAGAGCCATGTGAGGTGCAGGCTCGTGTTGGGTTTCTAACAAACGCCTTGCACGGGGTTTATTTTCCTTAGATGTGGCTGCATCAGAGGGGAGGTTGATCAGGTGGTTACGTTTTCCATACGGGTTTTGAAATGTAGGTGGTTGGGTCTTGGCAGCAAACTGTATAGTCAGTGATGGACTTAAAGGGTGCTTGCACACCGCCCAGTTTGAAGCTAGCTTCACTGGAGCGTCTTAAAATGATTTGCAGAGGTAGGTGTATGTTATTCTCATTTTGTATCTCCGAAGAAGGGGAACATATTGGTTTAGCCAAGGTGACACACGAGTTGATGACAGTTGGATATATCCCAGGTTTTACTTGCTTTTAACTGCTCTACCATGGCTGTTAGACCTCACTTTGCCTATTCTCTTTTAAATGTGTTTTTTCAATTAGATCAGACTATTAAAGAGAACAGTCATAAAATATGTATATATTTGGTAAGGCTTCTTTAGTACCCATTGGTGAATATCCTTGCACAAGATGTAAGGACTGGAGGGAAAAAAAAAAAAAAAGGCATTTCACAGCCCAAGTTGTAACAAGAACTTGTTGGTCCCAAGTTCAGTATAGTTATCGCTCTTAAAAGATCTGCCTAACTAAAGGTCTCTCGGGTAGCGGTTAATCCAGGCACCCATCTCAGCAGGCATCCGTCTTGCCTGTTGGGTCTCGGGGGTCCCTGTGGGCAGCGGCGCTGGCTGTGGGTCTGACACCCATCCTCGGAGCAAGGCTCTGCCCCGTTCCACTGAAACCCTGGCACCTTTGACTCCAGCCTTCAGTTCTCCTAGTTCATGTCATTTTGTTCGGAAGGCATTCACCTATTCAAATAATTAGTTAACAATGTAAAAACCATGGCAAACATCGAGTGATTCCTTTCAAGGGAGAAATTGAGAAAAAAAAAGAGGGGAAAAACAAGAGGGGGGAAAAAAGAAAAGACAATGCTATTTTAAGGCCATGTTTTAAATCAGAATAATCTTTGGAAGTAGGATACTGAGTAGCAATTGTCAGCTGGAGAGCTGAATGTCCAGGATATCCCAGCGTGAAATTCAGATGGCTTTCTGGCAGCCTTTGCCTTGAAGTAGAAGATGCAGAGTAAGTCTGGCAACCTTCAGGCTGAGCACTTGTAAACAACAGATGTTCATAACTGGAATCTTTTGGAAGAGAAGGGCAGGGAGCAGCGTGTATGTCCATGCTTGTAATTCTCAAAATTTACAGTTAACGCTGAGCTGTGTCAGGAACACTTTAAGGGGAAATCAAACGTTTGAACGAGCAGCTTTCAGAGAAGTTCAACTTTAGGGTTTTTTTTTTAAAATGAAGTGATTTCTTTAAAGGAGAAAGGCTGTGAAGGAGGTATCAACAAAAGCATTTGGGTCACACAGACTTCAGTTACCTTGCTGTTGTTGTTATTTTATTTTAATTGATAAATATTTTCATAGGCTATTTGAGCTGTAATTCTTTTTGATGGAGCCAAGTCCTGAACATTTGTTTCTAAATCTTTCACATAACAGTATTTGGAAGATTTTTCTAAGCGTGAAGCATTTATTTATTCAGAGACCTCGTTGAACCCAGAGAGCTAGGGATACATGACCAGTGCCAATTGATGTAAAACCCCAGGGAGGATCTTTGTGGTGTTTTTCATCGTACCAGTGATCCCAGTATCACACTGTGTTGGTTGGTGTGATTGTAGCTGCTCTTATGGAGCACACGGCAGAGGACAAAATTCAGACAGGTTGGAAAAACTATATACAGAAACAATTATGTCTCTGCTCTAACACTTGGTCTAGCTCTAGCTCTGGTGGTTCGCAGGGTAGACTTGACAGTTGCACAGATCTGAAAATCACTTTTTCACCTCTCCTTTCACCTCATCTCTCATTTTAGCAGGCGGTTCAGGTGAGCGGGACGTGAGGGCAGTCCTGCGGAGCCTGCGCCCTGCGGATTTCGGAGACCCGAGCTGGCGGGTCGCTGTGAGTTGGGCAGGGCGGTAGGGGCAGGGTGCTCCGCAGCCTCTCTGCTCTCGGGATCCTGAGCGCTGCTTCAGGAGGCACCGGGGCTGGAAATGGCGGTCGCAAACCTCTGGGAAACAAATCCTGAATATTTTGGAGCGGCAGGGAGGTGGAACAGGAAACTTCAGGTTTTGTATGTACCACCGGGAGACTTGCTTTAAAAACTTCCATTCAAAGGAAGGATGGTTGGAGAAGTCTTCTGTTCACATGGATGATGGGATGTGCCTATATTAATGTAAATGTTTCTCTCTTTCTATTTAGAATATTTTCATTCTCATCTAACTCATTTCTTCGTCTTGTGCTCCTTACGGAAACCCAATATTGCTATTGCTGGTTTGTCGGTGTGGGTTTTTTTTTTTGTTTTGTTTTGAATCGGGGGGGTAAGAGGTTTGTTTTCAGATAATTTTTCTGCTGTTGCTCTGAACAGGGTTACCTCACAGTGCCCCACTAAGTGTCGCTGGCCTTTGTCGCTCTCTCCTGCTTGCCTTAAAGCAGATAAATCTTGGATTGTCTGTGGGTTGCTTGTATGAATGAGTAATTTAATTAAGACATTTCAGATACTTGGGACTCAATCTTCCCTTCTCATCTTTTGAGACCGACTGAAACCTTTGAAGTGGAAGTTGCACAGGACCCGATCAAGATAACACCCAAGAAACCACAGAGCTTCATACTTTGTGGTTCCTTAAAAATCTGTGCACAACTTCCTCTTCCTGCTCCCAAACACCCTTGATTGCTGTGATCTGGCGTAATTTAGGCTAACCTAAATAAACTCTACAGATTCACTATCATCACACGATCTTTAAAGGAGTATAAATTGTGCTTGAAATGAACCTGGGTCTTGGCATCTTCCTCCTCCTCCTCCTCCTCCCCTTGTGGGGGAAGTTTGACTCAAACAGCTGTTGTGAATGTGAAATCGCCAGCACTTTGGGAAAGTTCATATCCAGGTCCTAAAGCTTTGGGTTGATCTCATCAATTTTACTTCTTAATGGTGAATAGTGACTCCAGTCATTCTGCAGAATCAGTGGAAACTGAGCTCACTCTTGATTATACCCAGCGGTCCCTACTGCTGTTTTTCTTCCCTTTTTCATCCCTCCTCTGTGGTGACATGAAACTGGAAGCAGAATATATTTGCCAGCTCCTTTGAGAATTGAAATGGTTAATGAAAATCGCAATTTGCTTCTCTGCCATCTGCTTGTGGTTATGATAGAAAAGGGTCTGTTGTAAACAGTTGTATAACTTCTGCTCTGTGTTGTGAAAACTGTTGCCATGTTCTACCCCAGAAAACGCTGCGTTTTTAGAGGTGCTTCAACAGTTAATGTGTGTGTAGTTTTAAAGGCTACTTGGAAGGTTTGAAGCAAGTAACTGCCTCTTTCCTTTTCTGTTTCATTTCGGTCTTAAGGCCTGCCTTTATCTGCTTTTTGCCAGTGCTAGGAAAATTGTCACTAGAAAATAACGAAGGAGAGTTTTTTGTCTCGCTTCCTGTGAAACCCTTGCCGTGCAAGCACTGAACCTGTACAAAAGCAAGACAGACGATTTTAACAAGGTACTGAAGGGGTTAGTGAAACCAACAGCACGAAATTAAAGGAATTTAAGTGCAAAATCCCGAAGCGTGCAGTGCTGTGGTTGCAGGAGGTTGAGCTCAGGGTGCGGCGCTCGCTGCGCAGACCCGAAGGTGACAATCCCGGTCGCGGATTGGAAGCATGTGGGGTTGTGATTATTTTTTCCTGCAGGATGGCCTTTCATGTCTAACCACACGGAGTGTGTCAACAACCCATCTGGCGCCATTAGACACCAGCAATTTTACTCACCATACTTTTCATGGGCTCTTGGTATTCCTGCTATGTGCTGCCTTAGAATAGCTCCGGGTGTTGCGGTAGGGCAGCCTGGACAGCTGGGGATTGTCCAGTTAACTATTGCATCTCTTCTGGTTCCCATTTGGGGCTTCAGTTTTCTGTGGAAAGCAAGGCACTCGTCTCGTGCTGCTCTCTGGTCCCTTTCGTGTATTCTTGTCTATAATCATAACTCTTGGTCCTTGTTGCTCCCAGCTCTTCCAAGCTGCTCCTCAAGGTGGGACTGGATTGACACCTCACTGGGGGCATCCGTGATCAGGCAGGTGCTCTTTGTGGAGTAGAGAGCAAAAATTCATAACAAGATGGAGAACGCGATGGGAGATATTAAGGATCAAACCAGCAGAGTGTTTTTGGGTTGGCAGTTGGTGCAGATGAATGGTACGAAGTTTGAGAAGGCAAGTTAGCAGGCTGCACGCAGCTGGGCTGCTCCTGGCTGCTCCGGGGAGATCTGCGGCTGCGCTGGTCTGAGGAAAAGAGTGAAGCAGCAAAGTGATGAAGCAGTAACGGGCTGTTAAGGGTTTTGAGCCAGGATTTCGAGCAGCTAGACCAAGATCAGCTGGTGGAGAGTCTTGTTCCTAAGTTTCATTCCCAGATTTTTCACAGTAGTTGATTAATTTCCAGTTGCTGCAGCTCTTCCAGTTTAGAGGGCAAATACTGTGTAATGTACTTTTATATCATTGGCATAAAGGAGCAAACCAACCAACTTCCGACATCTTTTAATACCATCCTTCATAAAAGTTCTCTTTACAACCATCTACAATACCATCTTAGTTAGTTTGCTTCCCATGTTCTAACTGAACCAGTTTGTCTGTTGGTGCAGACGGTGTGGACACCTCCGACCCAGCTCCTTGGAGCAGCTCTTTCTGGAGACGCCTTTCCTCCTCCTGCCCTCTCTTTAGTGAAAGAAAGCTTGTCTCACCTAAATAAAAAAAAATCACCAACACCTTAATGTGTGTATTACCTTTTCTCATGGTGGCAGTTTTTATCTGTGTCTCGGCAGGAGTCAGAGCTTACGGCTCCTTCTCACGCGTGTGCCCTTCACGGGCTGGCTGCAGCCTCGGCGGTACCCGTAGATTCACAGTTCTATTAGTCGGGTCCTGCAGTTACTGATTAGCTCTCTGGCATATTAACAGAACAAACGGTATGCTGCAAACACTGATTGCAGATCGGGGGGGCAACTATTTGATTTATATAGCCTAACATCTGGCAGTTTCAACCTTGCACAGTTCTGCATTTTCATCATTCCATCTGGTTTTGCGCGTCAGCAGTATCTGCAATACAGGACACTAGAGTAGGTAGGAAAATACTGTCTCTAAATAAAATCTATGCATCTCACACTTTCTTTTCTTTTTTTTTTTATTTTTTTTACTCGAAACAGCAGGAGACCCGAAAGCCCAGAATCCTTTTTATACCCCCTCCCACTATACACACACACTCCAGACCTTGAAGCAGTCCAGATCACAAGCTGCAGTCATTTCCTGAGCTTTTCATTTTTTTAAGGAAAAGAAACAAAGCATCAAGATCAGCTGTTCTGAAACTATTCTTCTTTATCTAAAATTATCCATATTGCACTACAAATCCAACCGTTGATGTCAAGAAGGGTAATGAAAATCTGCCATGGCTTAATTTTAATGTTTTCACAATGTCAGACATTTCTTGTGGCAGAGATTGCTGTCCTTTTAAGTGCAGAATATTCCTTTTTTCAGTTGAAATTAAACTGCGTTTCTTTTATGAGGAAAGAAATCTGATATAATTGCATACAGTAATCAAGAAGAGCTTTGGCTTTCCACCAAGGATCTGACTTTCTCTTTTCTAAATACATATTATTGTACTGTAAACAAATGACAAACAGATCTAGAGAGAAGTAAATGATGTAGTTAAGACTACACCTGGATCTGCCAGTTCCAAACACTGCTGCGGGGCTGCCGGAGGACCGTGCAAAATCACTGCTAATGTCCTTGCTTTCATCTGGTATGAAATGGTGCCTTAAGAAATTGCTTACTCCTTTCAGTAGATGACATGTTGATCCAAATAAACGGAGGTTCCTCTCATCCCCCCTTTTGCCCTTTGTATTGCTTATTTGCAGGGTGCAGAGTCAATCAGCCATAATAAGGTGGAGAAAGTTCAAAGATGAGAAAATAAAGCTTGTCGTATGAATGTCGCTTTCTCTTTTGCTCAGGACAGATATAGATGCTTGCACATAATCGTTTTTGTACATGAAACATAACATTTTGTTTCCTATGCAGATGCTAGTTAGCTAACTGGATGCTTGAAATCTTTTTATTGTGGTTAAGTCGCAAATGCCTGAGACTGCGCTGTGAAACCTATTGTCAGAGACCGGAGCCATCGCTCTCCCTCAGGCACTGCAATTTATGCACAAATTCTTGGATGCAAAAGAAAAAATTAGAGCCTACATTTGGCTTACTGTAGCTTGCACTTGCCTGATCTGCTTGTTGGGGGATAAAAGCCCGTGGCCATGTGAATGTAATCCTGTGTAATCGAGGGCATGTTTTCTGTATGTGCAATAGCCATTTTAGAGCCTTTCTCTGCTCTCCTCTCCCTCCCAGAACCATACGTGCTGTGGCTGGGTTTCTTGCATTTATAGATACAGAAGATCATGAACAGAATCGTTTTGTCCACTTTAGGTAGTCCTATCCAATTCTTGTTTCTATTTTGTGTCCTTTATAGGAAGGATCAGAATGTGCTATCACCAGTCAATTGCTGGAATCTCCTGCTAAATCAAGTGAAGCGGGAAAGCAGGGATCACACCACCCTAAGTGACATCTATCTCAACAACATCATCCCGCGCTTTGTCCAGGTCAGCGAAGATTCGGGGCGCCTGTTCAAGAAGGTAACTGAGTGCTAGAACGCATGTCTTTTTGTTTGGCCTTTCTGAAATACAAAGTTTTAGCTATTACTTCTGGTGGCTTGATTTACTATTGACTGTGCCTAACACACGCTGGGGTTTTTTTTCCTCTTTGTGGATTTTTCCTTTGTGGGAGGTGTCCAACCTGGGCAGGGGGGTTGGAACTAAAGGATTTTTAAGGTCCCTTCCAACCTAAACCATTCTGCGATAACTGTGCTTGACTGACTTCTGATGTCTTTAGTTATTTTCTTGTTCTGGTGTTTTAGGATTTTCCTGAAAGTGATTAGTTGAGTTTCATTGGTCTAAATTTAGGCCATGTTTTCTTCCTCTTCACCTGCTTGCAGTTTTGTATGCATTTTAAAACTTTGGTTAAGTAAGCAGAAACCCTTCAGATCTTCAACTCTGAATATAATGAACAACAACTCTCCAAAGACAAATTTGTACCTGTCTCAGAGGAGAAACTACTGTTAAAAGAAAAAAACAGGGAGAATTCCTACTTTGACATATAATAAAAGGACGTATTGTCCTTCTCTGGAAAAAGGAGAAGATGCAGCTGAGGTCTCTTTTGTTAGCTTTGTCCTCTTTCTCTCCCCTTGATTTCCACCTGGAAAAAAAGGTGGGACAGCGTGGGAGGATATGTTTCTGTTAAGAATCTGTTCTTCCAGTTGAGGAAACACAATATGGAAGCTTTGAAACCCCTATTAAATGGTAATGCCTAGTCTCTTCAGAGATTTGTCAATGGCTGTAACATCTGCTAGTTAACATGTTAAAACATTGCAATTCTAACTTTGAAAGCATTTTCTCTTCCACCATCCCCCCCCTCCCAACGTGTCATGATCTTGGAGAGTTATTTCTACTACTGCAATGCCTGGAGAAGGCAGTTGCAGAAGGACTCCAGCTTTCTACAGAGTACTTTTGTGGAGACGTATCCTAAATCACATTGCCTCTGAGAGAGAAAGGGAAGAGGAGCATTTTTGTTTAAAAAAACCCCTCCTACTGTACTTTCATGTCTGTCTTTTTGCCTTCAATAGCGTCAATTGTTATGTTAAAAAAGAGTCATATGAGTAGTGTGTGACTTTAAAATTAAAATCTGTTTAGGTGCAGTTGGCAGTAATTGGAGGCCTCCTTGGCTTTTCCCTCTGGTCTTGACAGTCTTTTGAAATGTCTTGAGGAAAGAGCGTTCAGATATGTCTTAATATCTCTATATTGCTTTGACTGATAAAGAGAGTCTATATAAGGCAGTCCGGTTAGACTGCTGGAAAATGAACAGCGCTCAATATTGTGTGTGATGTTTCATGTCAGGATTCACTTGAAGGAGCAGCGTCTTGTTGTGTGTTACCTGGAGAGCAGGATGCGTTTGCTCTTTTACAGCAGGTATTTGTGTGCGTTGGCAACGGATTTCTATAGGAGAATGTAAGTGCAAGAGCACTCTTATGTTCCTTGTCCTCTGTGTGTTTCTTGAGTCTTTAACGGATAGTAATGGAGTATGAAAAATGCATTCAAGTGTTACATTGTGTTTCTCTTTTACTTCTTTTTTTAAGGCATTGCCCCAGTAGAGAAGGAACCATCTCTTTTTCAAGTAATGTCATACTAAGGCCTTTTTGACCTTTTAAAACTTTCTGGTAATTACATTATGGTCGATTAGATACTTACACGGGATTATTGAATGGCAGTTACTCTTCAATTCCTCTAATCCTTCCAAAGGATAAGTAATCTCCCCACTGAATTTCAACAAGGGCTGTGCTTGAGGAAGGTGGCTGAGAAAATGCCTGGGCAAAGAAGTACATGGAAATTGATATTATCCATTTTCAGCCCCTTGCATAAGCATGGGTTTGCCCTGTTTTATTTTATTTTGGGCAGTAGGACTTGAATAAAAACAAATAACTGACCGACAACAAAATACCCCTCTGGTTTCTTTCTCAAATATGAACTCCCTATTAATTTGTGCAAACAAAAGGCACTTGTTACTAAATTCCAGTGATCTGTTGTCTGTTTGCCAGGCACACCAAATTGGCTGAAGGCCAAAACAGGTATTAGATTACTATTCCACTTATGCTGGGTGGTTAAAAAAAAATAAATTGCATCTTGTCTCATCGAGTGTCACATGGTTGAATAAGAATTGGTACAAGAGCTACTGTGGGCTAGAAAACAGATGTGGTGTGTGGTTAAAATACTGCAAATCAGCTTTATAGTCCATGGATTTAAAAAAATGCTGTCCGTTTATAAACCCCCTGTGTAGCACACTTGTAGCACTCAAAGCAGTACAATCTCCAGAATATCTCTGGGCCATAAGCAGACAAATGGTACCTTTTCCTGGATGAAAAAACAGGGAGAAGTGGATGAAGTCACTTACCCAGGGATGCTCAGCAAGTCGCTGGCAAAGCCGGAATGCTGTTCTGATCAGTATCTGTAGGTATTGAAGGGCAATAATTAAGTGACTTGGCAAGATACTTAGGAGTGGCCTTTATTTTTCTGCCTCTAACCAGAAGTTAAAACCATGCTAGCCCAAAGGGAAATTAGTCCCATTGATGAGAAAATCTAGACAAATATTCTCCTCCCTCTCCCCTTAGCTTCTCCTATCCTTTTTTTAAACTTCTGAGACATCCTTTCCCATTTTTGAATGGAGAAGAGCTACCATAGTATGTGACAGCTCAGAAAACTGGGCGCTTTTTAGCAGTCTTGAAACCGATGCAGTTTATACAGGAGCTACATGGAAAATAATTCTACTATGTCACGTTGGAAAACTTTTCATGGAGCTGTGGAAGGCAAATTCGGAGGTCCCAACCAAAAACCAAATGTGAACGAGCTCCGAATGGCATAGCTGAATTAGTGTGGGGCTATGTCTCAGCGAATTTATGTAGCTTCTCCACAGATGTAATTAGCCAGGCTGCGTCAGTGAACTAACTGGCTGTGTGACTTCTGAGACCGGAGATTCCTGCCTCTCCTGTGCCATGGGTCATTCCAACGCACTCACCGATTCCGCACAATCTCCTGTCTGGTCTAACACAGGCGGTATAATCAAGATAAAATGCCCTGCAGTTTAATGAAATGCCGCCTGCAGGAGGAAGAGCCTTAGCTGTGATGCTGGTAGGGCACTCGGGTTTGGCTTAGCACAAGAGCTTGGTTTTTACTGTTTTCCAGTGGAAATTGTAGCTTTTGGAATTGTGCTGCTGATCTTGCTGCTGGGTCCTTGTCTCATGCTGCACAGGGAATCTGTTTTAAAAATGAGGACACTTTATTATTTGAAAGTCTGAGGAATGTTATTTTTTACACTTCTGTTTGGAAAATGCCTTCTAAAAAAAGTTATACATGTGCCTGGCTGACTGCGGGTGCTCTAGTACCTTACCTCTGGGAACTACTCACTGGGTTGTAAATAATGTGGAATATGGAGAGGACAGTGATACAGAGATACAGAGCTCCTCATTTGCTGAGGGCAGTTGACATAAAATCCTGAGGCATGAGATCCTTTTCTTGGCCATTTATAATTTAGGGCTTTCTCGAATCGGTGCTTTGTATCATGCTGGGATTGAGCAGGTGAGCTCGGAAAAAAGGGTAAAAAGGATGTACTTAAGATCCCTTTTGTTGCTCGACTCTTGAGCTGCTGTATCTTGCGCCGTCTGAAGTGGCGAGCTTTTTCAAAGGAGAGAGATTGAAGTGCGGCGTGCAGCCGTAATCCAGCCTTAAGGCAGCAAAGGACCTGGCTGGGTGCGATAAGGTCTGCGCTGGGAAGGAAACACGTCCTGGAGTGCAGCCTGGCGCAGCGAGAAGCGGTGGGAGCTGGCTGTGCCACGGCCGGAGCGGTGCAGAGCCCGAGATGGGCAAACCGGGTCTGTCCCTGCCCGGCAGAGCATCAGCAGTGGCGGCAACGTGGGGTTTGTCTCTTCAGCGACTGCGGTGGGGAATCCTCAGGCTGAGACAGATTCTCCTGTGTTCGTTCTTGGACCCCTCGGACCGGTTACCCGAAGGGCACAGCCGTGCTGACTGTCAAGCTTGGACGGGTCTGTCATGAAATCGGTGAACTTCTGACATTCCGGCGGTGGTGCCTGCATGGCAGACAGGTTGTCAGAGTTTGGATTCGCGGTGTCATGGGAAGCCTGCCTGGTCTGCGGCTTTGTCTCATGCAGTTTTTCTGTTCGTGTCTTATGATGAAGAGATCCCTCTCCAGGGCTGTGTTACGACGTGGAGGGTCTTACTTGTTTGAGTGTCGGATGGGAGCGTGCCAGCCACTTCAAAGGTATCTCTGCTGATAAGAGAAGCCGCGTTTGCTGCCAAAGCCAGCACTGAAGTGGTGCTGGACGTACAGTGTGTGTCAGCCCCGTTTCTTCCTGCCTCTCGCGTTTGTTTACTTCCTCGGCCAGCTCTCCCTGCAAAACCTGCACGTGTCTGAGCCCTGGGCTGTTTGCACCAAACATGGGTTTATATCTTATTGGAAACTTGCGACTGAAGGTGTAGGTGTTCTTTGAATGCTGTAGTTTTTCCCTGCCCGTGAGGAAACACTTTTATATTTCAGTAAAAGATGTCAGTAAGGGGCTTGGTGCTATAGCAGTCTAACGGATGAATCCCGCTGGCGTCGGTGCGGATCTGGCGTTTGGCTTCAGTGGCGCTGCTGGCCCCAGGAACGGTGTGAGTGCAGTTCTGTGCGACGACAAAAGAAAAGGAAGATGAATGATGAAATAAATAACCGCGCTCTCGAGCAAATAAAACTGGGGGGAAGCTGGTGGAATTGTGCTAATAACAATTTGTTATGCCTTGGGAGGTAATATTTTCTTATTTGTCCAACAGTTAATGATTTAGCCCTGGGTTTCGTACAAGGTTGAAGTTTAAATCCCGTGTGCCACCTGGCGTCGCTATTCTGGTCACCTCTCCCTCTCCTGGAGGACCGTCCTGCTTCGATGTCAGCGCCTGTTCTCGTCCACGCTCCTCTTCATTCCTCCGTCTACTGTTGTGCAGAGCGCTTCTTTGGTTTCTCCCTGCTTATCCTCCTT